GCACTTTTCGGATGTTAGTGAAAATCCGGTCAAGTTCTTCTTTTCAGCAGTAACGGTGTTGATCCGCAAAAGAACGTGTTGCTCTCGCGTTTGATATCGTGCACTGGCAGTCAACGTCGTCCTCTTGCCACCATGAACTGTGCTCGGTGCTCAATTGGAGCATCATTTCTCAATGGAAAAATCATTGTTTGTGGTGAGCTTGGTGTTATCCTAAAGAATTTTCTGCTAGGAATTTCATATTTCGTCAATCTAATTATAACTATTTTTTTTCTAGGCGGCTATGACAGAGGAGAGTGTCTCCGATCTGTAGAGGAGTACGATGTTGTAAAGGGTGAATGGAAGCAGTTACAATCTATGAATGACGAGCGGGGCAGATTCGATAGCGCTGTACTTAACGGGAAGGTTAGTCGATTTTATGTGCATTTTTCGTTCCGATGCGGCCTGTGAGGGGAAGCATTTTGCCCTTTCCATAGTTACCATCGACGTGTGGAGCCATGAGGTGGGGACCTGAGAAATCTTGTGAAGCCATGAAGTGATGCCAGCCAAAATTTGTAGAAACCGCCTGTCAACCCTTGTAAAGGATACTTGCAACCTTTTGTAAAACAATGAGCATCGATGAGACGTAGCGAAAGTGAAAAATGCCTCCCCTGAGCCGCACTGTGCTTTCGTTTTCATTTTGTGCTTTCTTAATAGCTTTTGTAGTGTACTCTACCAATATAATATAATATAATATATAATATATAATATAATATAATCTGGCGTAAGTCCGTTAGAAGTGGGGTGCGTTTTGGGGGGGGGGAAAGCACTTGAAAGATTCCGTATAAATCTGGGGTGGCCGAAATAAGGGTTCCGCTCACTAGAGGGAAAAGGCTCCGAATGGATGAACCGATTACAATGTGTAAAAAATGTAGGTTCCGCATTGGAGTACCAGGACTGGTTTCAATGCTTCCCTTCTTTCAACGGAGGAACGCCCAAATTCTGTGATTAATAGTTTTTTTTTGTAGACTATTAATCCAGTTTCCTTCGAGTTAGGTCTTTTTCCAGATTTATGCAGTTGCTGGAAGTAATGGTAACATTGACTTGAAAACAGCCGAAGTTTACAATCCAAGACTGAACCAATGGACTGCGATTCCTTCCCTCAATAAAGCAAGAAGTCATAATGGTATTAGTTTTCAAAAGTCAAAGAGTAGCTTTTCCCCAGAGTATTCTCAAGCATTTTCAAGGTTGTACTGCTTTGGACGGCTTCCTTTATTGCGTAGGTGGATCGCTTGATCAGCAAGTTCTGAAAGACTGTGAAAGGTTCGACGAGTCGCGGCAGGTTTGTTTTTATCCTTTTCATTAACAGGAGATTGGTGAAATCCGTGAGTGTGCCTTCAAATTTTGAAAATTTGAGGCCTCTCTTATCCTTCTTAGGGTTTTTTAGCACTAGTATTTAGTTAAGTCCTTAGTTTCTGGCGAAATGCTGACATTTCAGGTTTGGGAACCCATAGCGTCCATGGAACTAGCTCGTTTCCAAGCGGGAGTTATTGCTTGGCGCGGTCTAGTTGTTGCCTGTGGTGGATGTGACCGGTTTGTTACGATTTCCGATTCCTAGCCGTAGCTTTTATACCACATGCTTTATGAGTATGACATTTCAGGTGGACTTGTATGGATTCTGTTGAAGCTTACGACCCAAAGACTAACACATGGCGTATGTTGGCAAAGATGCGAACAGCTCGACGAGGATGTGCGGTGGCCGTAATTCGAGGTAGGTCTTCTGTCAGCACATCCGCCTCTCACCGCTCTATGTGTGTACATGATTATAGTGATATTCGCTGCGGGTGATGGGGCGTGGCTGGCGCGATACGTTTGGCACGGCTCCAAACTCGTTTTCCATGTGTTGTTGAAACGGTTAAGCGACAATGACGACTGATACGAACGGTATGATAGTCTTGTCGCTCACTTGCAACAACGGGTTAGAAACGGGTTTAGCGCCGCGCCAAACCTTTCCCGATGACCACGCCCCATCATCCGCAGCGAACACGGCTGTATTTCCTCCACAATCTGTCTAAACTCACTGTTAGTGAATGACGTCATCATCGAGTATTTTCATGGGAAACGGCACTTTTGCGTTGGCCTTTTTTGGAATACGCTAGGGGGAAAGGTTGGTGGAAAAAAAACTTGTTTTCAAGGCTCTTTTGTGCAAGGGGGAGGGGTAGACTGCTTGATGATGTCGTCTTCTGCTGACTTGCCTTCTCCTACATCACAGGCACCAGATCATGATCATTCTATGAGTGTTTACGATAGATTTGAATGCGTCTCATGAGGGGGCCGCTTTCATATATGGCTACTTTAAAGAAATGATGAAGCCGCGGATAGAAGAGAGTGTAACTATCGGTTGAAAGAACCTCAGAATTGCGAGAAGTGCGGAATCCGTAGAAATGATATCCATCATTTCATTCGTGCATATTCTGCATTTCTCGCAATTCCGCATATTCGAATCG